CTGGATCTGGTTCTACTCAAATGGTACCAATCATTTCAATGAAAATTATGAGTTTGTTGATTCTTAAACAGTTGATCTTTAAGAATGTTTTTCTGTAATTTAGTGTACATAAATACAAAACGGTATTTATTTCTTGTATAATATTGAGTGTTGTATAGTGTTATAGTACTGTACTTCAATATTCAACGACACGACAGTTTTTATCTTGTATTTAGTGATCCTCAGCTGTTATATTAGCAGTTATCGTCTCATGTATGGATGTTAAGCTTTATACAGTACATGTATTTATAATAAATATTAATTAGTATTTTCAATAAAATGATTGAAAAAATATTAATTTATAATATCAATCACGTATCGCTATATAATAACTAATTTTCGCTGCACTCGATTGGGTATCAGGGCAGTGTGTAAGGAAGATGACTTAACAATAAATGTAGTTTTGATAATTCTAACCTTACTCAATTTATTAATAAGGGTAGGACAATTCTCCACGCAATAAAGGGAGGTTAAGGCACCCATAGGTGGGTTTTCTATGGGAAATCGGCCCCTATTTAGGTATTAGACGTGAAGAAAGCCAAAGAAACTTCACGTGGCCATTTGGTGAGTCGCGAACCTTCGACCAGTGTTCAATGTTTTATTTCTATATATAAGACGTTGCTGCTAGTAAATTTTGGAGGTTAAAGGTCAATAGGGAGCGGAGATGGAGGTAGGGCTTGTCAAATTTTCACGGATTCTCCTCCCTTTTACACAATTTTCGAAGGGGAGAATCTGTACTTAAAGGGAACAAACATTATACTTAATCTGCTTGCCATTTTACATCAGTGTATTACGGTATTCTTATAATTTTCGTAAAATTTCGTGTAATTTTTTTGTCTGTTCCGATATTATTTAGGGGAGACCGGGGCAAGATCGGCATGTTAAGCTTTACTTAAATTTTGTGTAATAAATACTGCTGTAAACTGAAAAAAAAGCTTTGCATATTGTCTATTGGAATGTTACCTTACTATAGAACTGGTTAAAATCAGTTTGGAAATAAAAATAATTAAAATAATTACAACTTTACAAGAAGAGAGAAATTGACGAAGTTGCCCCGGGTATAGGGGCAAGATCGGCAACTTCTCTCTTTTTGTAAAGTTGTAATTATTTTAATTATTTTTATTAAAGTTGCCCCTGGTATAGGGGCAACAGTAATGGGGCAAGATAGGCACGTATATAAAATTATGTTATTAACAATGTATAAGTTGGAATTCACTATTAAAACAAAGAAATACAAATCCAACACCCATTTAATATTATTACAACGAAATGCAAGTTCAAAGACATATATACATGAATAACAAATGCAAACATGTTTTCATTTATCATCTGTTTGATTTTTATCCTTTGCTTCTAATGTGGCTTTATGTTGCCGATCTTACCCCGCTAGTCATGATTTCGAAACATTAAGTACAACCCTGAGAACAGAATGCCAAGCCACGATCTGGCCACGTGAATAAGTTGAAGTTACATCCTTCTAACAGGAAAAGTAACTTTCGTTATCATGGAATTATAACAAAACCTGCCAATTCAATATAAATGGAAAAAAAATATTATATGGAATTGAACGAAAATGAAAATTTGCTTGATAATTCAACTACGCTTGTTGGAGAACAATAAAAACACTACACTCAACAAGCCACCAATAAAACTCAACTGCCTAACCTATAACCAAAGTCTCCTTTTAATTTGTTTTTAAAAAAAAGCGCTTGACAAACTTGCCCCGCATGCCGAAGTTGCCCCGGTCTTCCCTATATAAAATGCAGATCTTCAGCGTGATATTTTATTCATAAAAGGGCATTTTTGATGGGACACAGGCTTGTCGCTAGGCATCAAAGTTTACTGTCTAAATATCATTTGAAGCTAAATGGGTTTATGGGTCATTTAATGTGCTTATTATTATTTTTTTCAAAATTAAATATAAATCCGCTTCATCTAACTCACAGTTACTATATATTTATATCATTTCTGTGCGCTAGAGATTAAAATTATAGCTCCCGTTTATTGAGGGTACGTTCGTAAAGTCGAACGAGTTAAACGAGAATGACGTCATCGTTATTCTTATTTCGTTAGACTTTTCGAACGATTCGTTTATAACTAAACTGGTAGCTCCCCTAGTGGGCGTTCTTTACAAATTTCCATGAGGCACGGTTTTTTTGACTTTTTTGTTTATATCAATATGTTCTACAGCTGCGTTAAAGTCCCAATGGTAAGATTTACCCTCCGAACGAAGGGGTGGCGCCCCCCAAACTGCAGCCCCCCTGTGCGAACAATAAAGTCAAAGGAACCATAGCCCTACTCGCGACTTTTCGCGAGATATAAGCTCCTGAAAAATCGCCTACGTCATTTCCGGTCACGTGACACCGTGGTCAAAAGTAAGCCTACCGCGCGAAAAAAAAAAAAAACTAACGTACGCTCGTGCACACTCGGGGGTTCGCCGACCCGCTCATTCGCTGGGTAAATTGTGGCAAACAGGCGGTCACGTGACACGTAGAATAATTTTCGGACAAGCGTCTAGCGACCGGGCGAGTTCCAACTTACTCCGATAGAGGCTCCCTCTGTCGGCCATTTTTGGAGGTAATAAACTTGTGTACTGTAAGCAATCGGTCTACTGCAAGGTCCTTGGGTCTAGTAGTAGTTTGTTTGATATCCGAAGAAGAGACGTCGATCGTAGCTTATTAAATACAAAATTCACTTTATTAACATCTGTTTTATTATTGATTTTACTTATTATTAGCATTCAGTTTTTCGCAAATTTCATTTATTAAGTTTTTAGTTTACGTATTTATTTCGTTAGGATTATTTCATATTCTTGTGTGTAGCATTTGTCCTCATTGTTGAGATGGCCGACATCGTGAATGAAATACCTGAACTTACGGCTTCTGCAGAAACTGACATTGTAAATAGTTACACATGCACATTGTGCAACAAGACTTTTAAAGAGTTTCGTTATTTAAAAGTGCATACAATTTTCATCCAGATCACGTACACGAGTTAGTGAATCCAAAGAAGTTGCAGAAAGTGTTTTATTTTCCTTGTCATTTATGTTCCAGGAAATTCAATCAAAATCGCCGACTACGTTATCATCTCCGGAATGACCATGGTGAAATAATTGAAACACCTGATAATTCGAACATTTTGAACTTTGGTCTGTGTGGTGCTAGTTATTCCAAAAAACTTCTGCTGGAACATTTTAACAGCGTTCATGAATTAACAATACAAGAAGAAATACTGACATTTTCTTCAGTAGACTTGTTTACAGCATGGAAAGAAGAGACTGAACAAAAGACATATGCTAAATTTGTTAAAACTACCAGAGGTCCTGATTCAAGGTATGCAGGACAAGTCAAACTGTATTTTTCTTGTCACCGCTCTGGAATATATACACCCAAAGGTAATGGAATTAGACATCTTAAGACCCAGGGTAGCGGCAAAATAAATGCTTACTGCCCAGCAGGAATGAAGGTCATTCAAAAAGAAAATGGTGAATGTACTTTAAAATTCACAAAAACACATGTGGGTCATGACATAGACATGGGACATTTAACTTTAACAGTATCACAACGTTTCTCATTAGCAAGTAAAATAGCTGAAAAAATACCATTGGATGTTATTCTTGATGAAATCAGAGATTCTCTCTCTGATTCTACACTTCACAGACTACATCTGTTAACAAAAAAGGATCTCTACAACATTGAACAAGCATATAATTTACAAAAAAGATGGTGTAAAGCACCAAGATGATGGAATATCTGTAGATGTTTGGGTAAATGAAATGAAAATTAATAATGACTCTTGTATTTTATTTTATAAACCCCAAGGCATTTATTCAAATGAAACAAAATTAGTAAAAGAAGACTTTGTTTTAATAATAATGAATGATATTCAGCAGCACATGTTGCAACAATTTAGTGCTGATTCTATATGCACAGATGGGACTAATGGAATAAACAGTTATGGTTTTGAACTAACCACATTATTGATAATTGATGACATAAGACAAGGATTCCCTTGTGCCTTTCTTATTTCAAACAGGAATGATCAACTTGTTTATGAGTTATTTTTTAAAAGCATTAAAGAAAAAGTTGGAATAATATCTCCAAAGGTTTTCATGTCTGACATAGCTGAAGCATTTTTCAATGCTTGGATTCAAATTATGAATCAGCCTCAGTTAAGACTCTTCTGTACCTGGCATGTAGATCGAGCATGGAGAAGAAATCTCAATAAAATTCGTATCACAGAAAAGCAAGCAGAAACTTACTTAAAATTACGAGTGTTACTTCAAGAAAGAGATCAAGATGCTTTTTATCTCTTCGTAGATGAGATCATGAGGAAACTTAAGGAAGACCCAGATACCATTGATTTTGCTACATATTTTTCAAATGTATACATGAAAAATCCCACCTCATGGGCTTAGTGTCACAGGAAGTGGAGTGGTCTAAACACAAATGCCTATTTGGAAAAATGCACAGGACTTTGAAATATATTTATTTACATGGCAAAAATGTCAAACGACTAGATAAGGCAATAAATGCTATCATGAAGTTTGTAAAAGATAAAACGTTTGACAGATTGGTAGTACTTCACAAAAGCAAAGTTACTAGTAAATTAAGAGACTTAAGAAAATGCCATAAACTGAGTGAAAATTTAAGTTTGCAGGTCCTTGAACAAGAAGATGGCTGGATTGTAAAATCTTCATCACAAAGAGACTTTACCATGTAGAAGAAGTAACTAAGGACTGCAAGTGACAGATAGTGTGTGTTCCCTGTAAAGCATGTATTCATCATTTCACCTGTACATGTCTTGATTCAACAGTTCATTGGAACATGTGCAAACATATTCACACAGTTTGCAGATATCTTCAAACTAAAGAATTGCAACAATTTCCAACAAAAAATAAAGAAAATGAACAAATTAATACAGAATTGCAATATGAATTATTAAATTCATCAAGTGCAGAAATGATTGATGAAAGATTGATTATTTTTGAAGATAAAAGAAAGGAAGAGTCGTCATTACTCATAGACAAACTAAACACACCATCAACTTCAACACCTTCAAGATTGCGAGAAAATGTTAGGAAAGCTCTTAAAAATCTTGAAGCAGGTCTGGAATCAATGTCTGAGAGCCAACTAGAAGTAGTAGATAAAGCCCTAAAATCTTTGGGTCCACAGCTTTCAGCCATTGATGTAACAGACAAGTCTTCTTTTGTTTCAGCCCATTCAGTACCAGGTAACAAAAAAATTGACCCGCAGAAAAGAACTCTCTTCAAGACAAAGAAAGATGCAAAAAGAAAATATCAGAAATTAACTCCCAGCTTAGAGGAAATAGAGAGAACTGCTGCTAAAATAATTGTAAATGCTAAAACATCAATGTAAAAACTTTTTTTACATGGATGTTTTAGCATTTTGTAAATTAAAATTCTATATATTTGGTATTTCTATGATGTATTTTTCTTAACATGTTTTTAAATTTTTTTATATTTTAAAAGTTTGTGGTCATTTTAAAAAAGTTATTTTTTATTTTTAGAATACAGATTACCCAAAACAGGGTTTGTAATCAAGAAATAAAGTATCTGAAAAAAAGCATTTTTTACATTATCAGTTACATCACTTATTTAATCAGTTTTATGATTTAGGACTCTTGGAACATCTTATAAAAAGCAAAGAATTGAATTGTTTATATAAATAGCATACAGTGAATTGAAATTTATCTTTAATTATGGATATAAAATTCATTAATTTTAGAAGATTCAATGCCATTTGTTTTAAGTCTATAGACAGTCATATTTCTTTACAGACTCAGTCTTCAGCTCTCTGCCTTCTAACATCAAAACTCTGGTGTCAGCCACTATTCAGAAAGTGTTTAATCTAGATAGAAAATTTTTTACATTACTCAAACCTAAATAGCAGCGAAGTGAAGTAAATGTTGAATTTTTAAAAATAAGTCTTTATTATTGACACAAATATCAAAATTTCTGAAAAAAAAAGCTTAATTTTCCTTCCAATAATACTGAAAACTAACACTTAGCTCTTATTTTTTACTTTATTTAAACTCGTTTCTGAACATATCATAGTTCCTAAACTGTCCGATAGAGGGAGACACCATCAGAGTGAGTTGGAACGCGCCCAGTTACTAGAGGCTTGTAATTTTCGGAGCGATGTATCTCGGGAAGAGTCGCGCGTAAGGGTATGGTTCATTAGACATTTATTGTTCGCACAGGGGGGGTTCTCCGAATGAAGAGGATAAATCTTACCGTTCCAATAGCGTCATACGGATCTATATTTCTACCTATTAAACATTCTATAAATACTTTAAAATAGTCACCTTCGCCTGTAAACCTCGATTTTAAATGTGAGCCACCGGGAGGGAAGAGAAGTCCTCTTCTTCTGGCCACAGTTCGGTGACCTACTTTCTTGTCAGGGATGGCGTTTCGTTCAGTTACGCGTTATGCGAGTGGAGGAGAGTCGGAGGGGCCCACGATAAGACGTTGGCAAAGTCGAGTAACGACACCATTTAAAAACAAAACAAGAGTTTATTAAACTAACTAACTAAATAAAACTTACACAATGATTTACACTTACTTCGCGGATGAGAGAGAGAGAGAGAGAGTTCACAATAATATTTCATACCTCTGGGAAAATTTTGGATGTATACTCCAGCTTTAATTTCTGTGCGAGGTGGGCCACTAGGTCTTCTAAGTAATGTCGTACGGTAGGTCAAAGGGAAGTGAATGTCCGTCTTGGTCGTTCGATGGACGACCCCCCTTGAGAATGGAAGGAAAATGGCTTTTATACATTTTGTAATGGGAAATTTCGTCAGGTGAGCGATTGTTTTCGCAGGTTTGGGGTTAAAGTTGGTGTTAGAATGACAACAATATGAGGAATTTCGTCGATACTTGTAAACTGTTCACGGATTGATAGTGAGAATGTTTATAGTTAAATAGAAAGAGTTATAAATTTCTCATGTACAGTACTTTACATTTTGTTTCTGTAGGGTCAAATTCCTTTGGTTAAAGGAATTTTTATTTACCGTTATTAAAAATTTAAAGGATTACTTTCTTTTATGAAATTATATGAACATCGAATTTCACATAAATGTATCCGCCATTTTTTTCAACAAATTTCCCGTGAGTCAATGCGCGACGTTCACCGAGTCACGGGATGTCGTAAACGTGCGGGGCAAAGTTAATCGAGGCATATAATAATTATTTATACCATTCAGTGAGTAAAGTTCAAATGCATCACATACACCATTTAAATTCAAAACTTATATATATATATTGAAAGAAACGTATGTACAGTTCAAAGGTTCACAAAACAAACATTTACAAAACATCAATCGTAACAAAGTTCAACACGTATCCACTATCACAGGTCCGTCGAAAAGACACCTTGCAACGACTAGCTCTAAAGTCATTTACAGTCCAACGAGACGAGACAAGCTTCGGGACCAGCTTAGGCGAACTAAGACCAAACGTGAGTCCACTTTCTGGGTCCACAGTGAACTCAACTTCCCGCCACAACTCAATCCTTTTATAGGATTGAAGCAGAATTGGATTCCACCAATCTGCACTTAGCAGCTCTACCAGACGTCCGCTCAACCAATGAGCGGTCGAGTTTTCAAAAGTGGTCTGATCGCCGTTTCTATGGCGACAACCATTGTCCCTCGAACTATTGGAAAAGAGCGTGAAAAACGTGCGCCAGACGATTTTTATCCCGACACCGTGGTATAAATAATAAATTCCTATTACAAATGAAAATAATTTATTGTTAATTTAAAATCTTCGCTAGGGCGCCTCTACTGCCCGTTATCATACCGTTACGCGGACAGACTGATACTCGTTGAATGGGTTATATATATAGATGGCTGTTTCTAAAATCCAAGATATGAACGTTGCTAATATAAGCTTATCCGAAATATTTTTCTTAGATTGCTTCAAATGGACAGTTATTTCTATCATTTCACCTTTTAATTCACAGCTTAAACTCTCCAGTAGATATAGAAACATCGATATCGTCGGCCGCCATTTTCTTAACGAAGTGAACTAACGTTAGAGTTTCGTTCGAAACGTCATCACCGGAGAGCATGCGCACTGGGCAATACTACTACTATTCGAACGATTCGTTACTAACTCGTTTGACTTCACCAACGTACCCAGAAAAAGTTACCCGGATAAAGCGTTACTGGACTGAACAAGCAATCCAATAGAATAACTTGTTTCAAATGAAACGGGTTTTTCTATTGGCTAGCCCGTGAATCTGTGTTAATGCCAATCGTTTCTTTTAGTATATAAGAACACGTTCTTTGTTCCTGTTACGTGTAGTTTCCTTTGTGTCTTCGGAGTAGTCAACTGTGCCTCGATTTTGGTTTTCTTCGTAGTCAACAACGTTTACTTCAAGTTTAATTATTAACGATCGTCTATACAGAGAAGATATTGTATAAAAGAGTGACTTTTATCGCCTTAAATAGTTGAATATCGGTAAGTAATCCTTTGAAATTTTTTTTTGTAACTGTTTATATACGAGTCTTGGACCAAAATTCGGTGCACGTAGATAAAGATTAACCCCAGTAACATAATGACAAGTCATTTCTTATTACAAAATACATATTATACAGTGGTATATTATAATATATGACATGACCGGACGGCACCGACAAATGTCACGTGACACTCTTCGTACGCGTCCGCCGTACAATGTGCCGCTCCGCGACAAAAACAAGGTTAAGCAATGTAGGCTTCCATCGTGCATAGTCGGTAAATAATCCGATAAATTTTCGCTTATAGCTCTTATTATACGCGTCGCTCCAAAAAATTCTATGTGTTTAGGACACGCCTACTAGACAGGTGTCTTAAGAGAGCAAAATTACAAAAAAAGGCCCCATGCAGTTAGGATAAACTTTTACCGTAGCATCTACCGTTGTACGTCTAAGACAAAATACAACGACGGGTACTTGGAACAATTCTATAGATTTTTAGAAGATATAATATTAAAACCAAGACATTTAAAAGACTACGGCTTTCCATTACGTTCGTCCACAACTGGACAAACGTATTATAACGTTTCACGTTTGGAAAGTTGTACAAAGGATGAAGATAAACGGCTATGCATTCGTTGTCAAGCGTATTTTAATATATGGATGGACGATCCGGACGACATTTGCGTTTACCATCCAAAAAAACTAATTACTGCCCATGCAGAAAGTAACCATAAAATATACGCCTGTTGTAAGAAAGAAGAAGCGAGCATGGGGTGTTTCTTTAATAATTATCACATATCCACATCGAAATGTAGGCCGTCAGACGTTTTCTTTTCTACAGAAGAATGCGATTTCATAGAAAAAAACATCGTTGTATTGGATACGGAAATGTGTTACACAAAATTCGGGATGGAAATCAATAAGATCATTCTCTTGTCGTTCGATGGTTCATTAATATACGAAACGAACGTCTTGCCACAGTCACCTATACTCGGGCATAATAAGAAATGCTCGGAAATGATGGGTAAATTGTTAGTGCCATTTACAGAGATGAGACGGTCTTTGTTAAGTTTTATCAACAAAGACACAATAATAATAGGACACGGATTGGAAAACGATCTGAAAGCTCTTCGTTTGATACACGAGAAAATTGTGGACACGTCTATCATATTTCCAGATAGACGTGGATTCCCGTATCGACCATCTTTAAAATCTCTAGCATTAGAATATTTGGGTAGAATCATTCAGACACCCAACCACGATATCGTAGAAGATTGCAGGGCGTGTCTGGATCTGGTTCTACTCAAATGGTACCAATCATTTCAATGAAAATTATGAGTTTGTTGATTCTTAAACAGTTGATCTTTAAGAATGTTTTTCTGTAATTTAGTGTACATAAATACAAAACGGTATTTATTTCTTGTATAATATTGAGTGTTGTATAGTGTTATAGTACTGTACTTCAATGTTGAAAGTATAAAAACTTGTAACTGTTTACTAATTAAACTGCATGGCAATAAGACGACACGACAGTTTTTATCTTGTATTTAGTGATCCTCAGCTGTTATATTAGCAGTTATCGTCTCATGTATGGATGTTAAGCTTTCTACAGTACATGTATTTGTAACAAATATTAATTAGTTTACATTATACACAGTATTTTCAATAAAATGATTGAAAAATATTAATTTCTAATATCAATCACGTATGGCTGTATAATAAGTATTTTTCGCTGCACTCGATTGGGTATCACGACAATGTTAAGGATGACGACTTAACAATAAATATTGTTTTGATAATTCTAACCTTACTCTATTTATTTATAAGGGTAGGACAATTCTCCACGCAATAAAAGGAGGTTAAGGCACCCATTGGTGGGTTTTCTATGGGAAATCGGTCCCTACTTAGGTATTAGACGTAAAGAAAGCCAAAGAAACTTCACGTGGCCATTTGGTGAGTCGCGAACCTTCGATCAATGTTCAATGTTTTAACCCCTCGGTTCTTAACGCCCATTGAGGAGTTAACTCGGGAAAAGCTTATTTTACATTCTGTTTGATGTTGTTTATGACATCATAATATTTTGAAATTATACACCCAATTAAAGTTTACTTTTTGGACAATTTTTGTGGTTCCCCCTATTGAAAGAGTATACATGGTCGAAAATTTCGTGACGTATTTGAATGTTTACGGTAACTGATGCGCAACTGTCTAGAAACCTGTCGTCCCTTGCGATTTGTACGAGAATATCCCGCGAATGGCTTTCAACAGCTGTTCTCAAGGACATTAAGCTAAGTACACCGAACTGCTGCGTGTGTCACGTGATCCGTCGCGATTTTTTTTGTTATGCGAAAGACAATTCGTTTATAAATAATATTTAATAAAGTAAATTAAGTTATATGCTAAAATATTTTAGAAATGTATTGGATAAATTGGCGTATTAAAAGTTTTTTTTAATTTTTTGTGGGAGTTTTTCCTGTAAAGCACAAAAAACAATGTTAGGTTAATGAGGTTAAGTTTAGCATATAAGTAATAACAAAAAAATAAAAAAATTATTAGTAAATAACGTAATACAATGGAGTATTTACAATAATTACATAATAATTACAGAAATTTACAATAATATTTACATGTATTATTGCAAATTTGTGTTATTTGAATTATTGTAAATTTATTTTCGAAAAACCCATAAAATAAAAATAAATCAATAGGTTTTATTTGCAGATATTATAATGTAAAGTAATATGTTGTCTTCTGTACTAAACGAACTGCACCCGTCTAGAGCCTCAGGGTGTAAAATGTCTTTGTTTACAATATTTCTCTCTTCATAACAAACTCCAGAGGGTCGGGTGTGTCAAGCAATGTAGGACAGGTGAAAGCTTTTTCTGATAATAAGCTAATGAAATTAATTCATATACAGAATTTTTATAAAAATTCTGCATTCTTATATCAAAAACACGATGTTTTGCAGGAAAAGCACCTTTACGGATGCAAGTATTGTTTCAAATGTGGTATGTCGCTTCAAATTCGCGCTACATTCAGTCTGTTTTTTTGTTTTCTAGCAAAGTCATATTACAGTTTACAGTTTATCACGAAATTTCCATGCTAAAATATCGTAGATTTATTAGTCACACACATCCTTTGTTCGAAAACAGAACAAACCACAGCCTAAGTAGCTACAGCAAGTGAGAAGTTATTGTTATTATTTACACTACTCCTTTAATTACTCTCCTAGCTTGGAGTGGATGAGTCATCTGAGGAAAAGTTCACACAAGTTTTCTTAAAGATAATGTATAAGAAACATTATTTTTATATTATGTCGACGATTTTTACAATAATCGACTATACTACGCAATTTCGCACGCGATTCTTTACATATTTTCTCTAGTGGCGTGCCGTCATTAGAAATGGTGGAAGCGCCGCTTCCCTTGTATTTTATAAAAAATAAATACATATTAATTTTAATTATATGAAAATAATCGCACAATATTTTATTATAACCGCATTATGTATGTTATTACAAATTTCTATACTACACGTGAAAAAAAGTAAGATTGCTATTGTATATTCGAACATTAGTGGCGGTGTGGAATCTCTGTATTTGTCAGATTCCAAAAAGCCAGATTTGCTCACGCGCTTTACAGAGCACCAACCTTAGCCGGTGGAAGCCTACGACCTTGAGTTGATGCTACACATTCCAACGCTTCCAATTCTATCCGGAACCGGTTCCGGGCTGTTAGCCGCCCTCGCCCGATTACATGAATCACGAGTAGATTTATAACTTGACCCAACCCATAAGAATTTACTGGTATGTTTTTACGATAGTTCTGTATAGTTGACAGGAGTTACAAAAATCCATTAAAATATTTGATATTTTTATTCCGCTCTCCGATTTTATATTACTCATTTTATATTACTCATTGTATTATACACACTGGTTTAACATCGAAATATATTTTATATTTCGATGTTAAACCAGTGATATTACGATTTCGTACGTCCCATCTCTAAGGGGATGTAGAAAAAAACGTGTACAATTCTTGTATAACGTTAAAAAAATTAACCGTTACTTCGACAGCGTCATTTACAACTAAATTTAATGAATGAAAGAGGTACAGAAAAAGCTCTAGAATTTATTTTCCTTAAATTTACGATTTATGAATTTGTTTGTCATAAAAATTTTTCTTTCCATCTTTTCCCTGAGACTACAAATATTCGAGTACAAAGTAACTGGTTTCGACTTATTTCTACTTAAAAAGTAGTTAAATAATTAAGCGATTAGGGAATTGGGGACGTAAACAAAACCCTGATGAAAGAGCCGGAATATTACTTAAACAAAAGCTTCACCGAACCAATCTATAGCCGAGTATAGTGGGGACCGATTTCTTCGAAATACCGTATTAGATGTAATAAAGACACATTTTTCCAGTTCGACGAGAGTGACCGAAAAGTTGTAAATTTTGGAAATTTCCGTGGACAACACCTGGGGTCCTAAAACGAATTAGTTAGGAAACAAAAGACGGACAATCTATTAAGTTTAACGTATTTAGATTTTTACAGCTATGGTGAGAAACGTTTAAAATTTACAAGAACCCTGTCGCGTCCATTGAGATATACTAGTGACATGACAAAAGACGTTAACCGGTATCGGCACCCTCGGGATTTGGCAGGAATGCACGCACCGCACACCTACCAAGATCGTCTCTGATTCCATCCTACGAGTCACTGATAGGGAGCACTTTTAACTAGGTGGATTGTTTTAATATTTAAAAAGTAAAACAATATCTTATGCTATTTTTATGTAATTTCTTCACAAAACTATATTCATACAATCGAATATTTTGTACCAGGTATGTATAATTGTATATCGATTATACATTTTATTTTAACAAGTTTTTATAATTTTATTTTTAATTTTAGCCCTTATATTATAGCTAGCAATTTAGAATGTAATTG